AGAAGGTAGAGATGAGGTCTCACTGCCCAGGCGGGTCTCGAACCTGCGGGGCTCAGGCAATCTACTCACCTCAGCCTTCCAAAGGCGTGGGATTACAGGCTGAGCCACCAAGCCCGGTTGAGATTACATTTTAAGAGAACGAAAACTGAAATTAGATAGTGGTAATGGTCGTATAACTTTGTAAATATAGTCATGAGCCATATAGTGATATTTTGGCCAACGAAAGATCACATATAAGATGGTGGTCCCATAAGATTATAATGGAGCAGAAAAATTCCTATTGCCTAGTGACATCTTGGTGATCGTGATCCTGTGCAGGCCGAGGTTAATGTGTGGTTTAACAAAAGTTTTAAAAGTAAAAAATAAAAATGGAAATAATGAAAATATTGCATACAGCTCTACAATGTGTTTGTTTTAAGCTAATTATTATAACAAAAGAGTAACAGTAAAACAATTTAAAAGTCTATAAAGTAAAAAATTTACAGTGACTTACTGAAGGAAAAAATGTTTTATTTTTTAAAATTTATTTTATTTTATTTTTTTTTTGAGTTGGAGTCTCACTCTGTCGCCCAGACTGGAGTGCAGTGGCTGCTCCCGGCCACCGCAGCCTCGACCTGCTGGGCTCCGGTGATCCTTCTGCCTCAGCCTCCAAGTAGCCAGAATTACAGGCGTGTGCTACCACACCCGGCTAATTTTTTGATTTATTGTAGAGATAAGGTCTCACCTGCCCAGGCGGGTCTCAAACCTGCGGGCTCAGGCAATCCACTCACCTCAGACTCCCAAAGGCACGGGATTACAGGCTGAGCCACCGAGGCCAGCTGGAAAAAATGTTTTAAATTAAAATGTTTTAAATTAAATGTTTTAAATAAATTTGACATGCAAATTCGTGAAGTGTTCCATATTTTAAAAATAAGTAAATAGGTCGGGCTCGGTGGCTCAGCCTGTAATCCCACACTTTGGAAGGCTGAGGTGAGTGGATTGCCTGAGCCCGCGGGTTCAAGACCCACCTGGGCAACTTGGCGAGACCTCATCTCTACAATAAATCAAAAAATTAGCCGGGCGTGGTAGCGCGCGCCTGTAGTTCCAGCTACTTGGAAGGCTGAGGCGGAAGGATCACCGGAGCCCAGCAGGTCGAGGCTGCGGCGGCCAGGAGCGGCCGCTGTACTCCAGTCTGGGCGACAGAGTGAGACTCCAACTCAAAAATAAATAAATAAATAAATAAATAAATAAAATTTAGTGCAGTCTATGTGCACAATGTTTATAAAGTCTACTGTAGTGTATGGTAAAGTCCTAGGCCTTTACATTCACTCACCATCTCACCCAGACCAACACCCAGTCCTGCAAGTTCCATTCATGCTAAGTACCCTATATAGATGGGCCATTTTTAGACTTTTATACTGTATTCTTACTGTGCCATTTCTATGTTTAGATATGCTTAGATACACAAATACTTATCATTGTGTGACAATTGCCTACAGTACTCAAACAGTCACATGCTGCACAGGTTTATAGCCCAGGAGTAATAGGCTATACCACACAGACTGAGTGTGGAGCAGGCTGTGCCATCAAGGTTTGTGTTAGGTCACTCTATGTTGGTCCCACAATGATACAATCCCCTAATGATGCATTTCTCAGAATATATCCCTGTCATTAAGCAGTTCTTGACTATAAAGTGCAGATCATTGAATTGTATATTTTAAAATTGTATATTTTACACCTGAACATTTTATGGTTTGTGATTTTCAACTTTAAAAAGTCAGTGCCTGAGGTCTTTGTCACCCAGCCCTCCAGAACCCCCCTACCCTTGAAGGCCTGAGCCAAGCTAGCCTCCCTCTCAAACTCTCCTTCAGGTCTCCATGGTCTCCAGAAGGGAGAGAACTGAGTGTCTGGTTCCTGCTCTTGCAAGCAGGAGCAAGAGTAGAAAAGCAGGTGAGGAGAGCGTACTGTGCAGGCCAGCAAGAGGGACTGAGGCTGTCCCCCCATACTAAGGAAGAGCCACTGTGTCTGCATGGTAGAAACAGGGGTGGAGGGTAATACCCATCCTGACCCTCCATTCCCCCACCCTCCTGTCCCCAGCCTCACCGTGTTGTTCATTGAGTACTCCCCAGCCAGTCACCCAGCAGTCAGGCCGGTGCTTGAACATGAAGGTAGAGGACAGGACACAAATGGGCTTGATGTTCTTGTTATAAGTGACAGAGGAGGCCAGCCCAATTAGTGCAATATCATTGGCTGGAAGTCCAGTGTAGTGGGGATGCACAATGATATTCTGCACCCTGTAACGACTGGCATAGGCCCACGGGTTCCAGAAAGATGGCTTGAAAGTCAGCTCACCAAACTGAACTTTCCACTGGGAGGGATCACGGTTCCTGGCAAAGAAGAAGAGAGCAGTCAGGGGCCTGGAAGGAGGGTTGGTCCCCTGAGCATGGCAGGGGCCCAATCCATGAGGTGTGACTGTAGGATTGCTACTACTTGCTCATTCTGGATGCCATTAGCAGGTCCTTGTCAGGGCCCAAGAGCCTCCTGCAGAAATGGGAGAGCCCAGCAAGGCCACAACCAAAGTCCCAGAACCTGGGACCTGTGGTGGTGGAGCAGGAGGGTGGAGTCTTGCCACCTCCCAGAGCTGTCCTAAGGATACTTGAATTGAGCCAGTCCTCCAGGGGGACTCCTATGCAGTCCCAAAGAGGAGCAAGTGAGTGCACCAGTGGTAATGAGGGGTGCTCCGCAGGATGGCGTCAACACCGCTCTTAGGGGTGCTTGCCACAGGCCAGCTTGGTACCCCACAGGTACCTCACCTCAGCTCAGTCCTCCTCACCTGTGTTGCACATCCACCAGCAGGTAGAATAAGGGTGGTACAAAGGGTGGTTGGGTTGAAATAAAATGGGAGAATACCCAAGTGTGGGGAAACATGCTGGAAGAAGATTCTGGAAGAACTTGAACAGGGTGCCTCCAAGGTCACCAAAAGGAACTTGCATAGGTGTGACTGGATGCAGCGGGGCCTGGGGTTCAGGAGAATGTCAGGTCGCATCGGCGTGCAACTTGCGAATCCAGGTGAGGGATCGGACATTGGCAGAGGTCACAGGACACTGCTGCCCCCACCCACCCCTGCCACCCCAGGACTCACTTATTGAAGCAGTGTGCAGCCGAGAGCACCCAACGGTGACTGAGCAGGCTGCCTCCACACAGGGGGATTTTCTGAAAGTGCAGACTGGCCTGCCACGGCCAATGCCCGCTCCGGGACTGCACTCCGCCCATCACCAGCGCGTGGATATCCCGGTGGCCACAGGGCTCTGGGATGGGCAGACAGACCTGCGGCTGAGCAGCAGGACAGGCTCACCCGTCCAGCCCCGTCCTCCGGGTGCGCGTGGGGAGGGGCCCCGGGGAAAGGCACGCCCACCCAGCTCTCGGCTG